TCATTACTATTACCAGCTTACAGGTGAATTCAGCCACGATGTCCAACAAATAGCAGAAACCCTGGGAACTCTGCAAAATCAGACTGACTCTCTCACCGAGGTGGTCTTACAAAACAGGAGGGGGTCTGGACTTACGGCCAAAGAGGGGGGACTATGCCTCTTCCTAAACGAAGAGTGTTGTTTTTATGCCAATCAATCAGGAATTGTCAGAGGAATGGTTCAAGAGTTACAAGACCGAGTGGAAAAAAGAAAACATATTTTAGGTAAGAGCCCATGGACAGGCCCCTGGGGCTGGACCTCCTGGCTGGCACCGTTCATAGGTCCCTTACTCCTGGCTTTTGCTGTTCTGCTGTTTGGGCCCTGTGTCCTAAACTTCCTGACCCGCTTTGTCAGTGAGCAGATAGAGGCTATAAAACTTCAGATGTTAGCCTCCAATTATGAGCCCCTGCAACAGGTAAATAATGATGCTTACTCCAACAAGGGTTGTGAAAGCATCAAGAGGGGGGAATGTGAAGGAAAAGCCCAGCTGGGCTAACAAGCTAACTCACAAATCTAAGTGTAACAAGTGTCGGATTACTGATCTGAGTTCTGCTGGGCTAACTTGTAAATCTGAGTTAATTATTGTGGGTTTGCTGATTCCCTGTTCATGTTTTTTTTGCTAGTCAGCTGGATTTTCAGAGAGACATATCTGGCCTTGAAATGTTGGTTTGCTGCCTCCCTGCCTCTACTTTTGTGATAATGATGTTGCTAAAGCTGTTCCATGCCTATCAGCCAAATACCCCAAGCTTGTAATTAACCCTATAAAACCTCATGCACACGTGTTGGAGGTGCTCAGAGCTTCGGAGCAGAAGCCCTGCTGAGCCCGCCAGCGTAATAAATCTGAGTACTCCAACCCTCCGAGTGGTGCTTGTTTCTTGGCTGGCCTGTCATTTCCGTAACATCTGTAGTCCTTCAAAATACTCAAGCTCTATTATTCAAAGCACAATTGTTTTTAAATTATTGTTGTTTTTAAATTATTATAGGATATTCAACTTGAATATCTGCCAAAGTATCAAAACTGCCATCCCTACATATTATGAGATGCAATTAATGAATTCCATTAAAATGAATAATACCATTTAGTATACATAAGTAAAGAATGATAATTAGGTATACATTCACCTCAAAAATCTTTACAAGTAAGATAATATATGCAGGCAATACAAAAAAGCATCTGTGCTGCGTCCAGCAGAGCTCAGGACTGTGTCTGAGGACAGGAGACGCAAGACTTAAGAAATAAATAGACAAAGTAAAGAGCAAAGATGGGACCAGAGGACTCAAGATCTCGTGGATCTAGAGCGCTGAAAGCCTGGCCGACATATTTATTAGAAGTATACAGCTTAGAAAAAAATGCGATCAAAGAGGTGGGGCTTTAGATATTCCATGCGAAAAGCTAAATTCTGCTTGCTGGTTAACTGATTAATTTCAGGCCTTCCCTTCCAGGAAAAATCACCCTCCTCGGGGTATGCAAAATTTCTAAATCTATCCTGTTATTGCCTCCAGGACATCTTGAGATAGCAAATAGTCCCCCTGGGCTTAACCGCATGCTTTCATGACCAAACAAAGTTCTGTTAACGGATGATCTGGCTTGCCAGGACCATCCATTGTTTTACCCTAAGGAAATATCTGCCCTCCTTCATGCCCTTATGGTCTCAGGATTTCTCCTCACAAATTTTCTTTAGTATAATGCGCGCTATAGGTCATCTACGGCATAAAACATTAAAACAAAGCAAGAATGTGCATTTTAAGCAAGTTAAGTGTGAATATATTATAAGCTCGTGGAAATTTAGGTGCAGCTTGTTTTCTAGCTGCTTGTCCAGCAGCTTGTTTCCCAGCAGATCTGTAAAGCATTATTCTATTCATATAAATTTCTAAATGAGACAAAAAGAGAATGGCTACTATTAGTGACACACATTTAAGGTGTCAAACTGAAGAACTATAAGAGAGTAATTTAAGTGAAATTCTGTTTGGTGTCCTCTGAAGTGGAAGGTGGAATATCAACTTGGCAGGCTCATAGCTAAGATGGCTGTGTACTACTTTATAGTTGGGGGCAGTGAATCAGTATCAACTTACATTTCTTTTCCCTTTTTCATACATGCATAATTCAATGAGATTCTTAAGAGTACCGCCTAAAGGCTACTCACCTGTGCTTCCCACGTAACCTGTCACCACGCAGAGAGAACAGCCCAAGAGCTTCTCAGGCACGTAACTGTCCCTTCTCAGTTAATGCTGCACAAACATGGCCATTATTATGTCCTTTATCACCACCTAGGACGTTCTCCTCGTTATGAACTTATCTACAGAAGTTTACAGTGTTGACTACTTTGTGTCTGACATACACTGCCACTCAATTCATCCATGTTGTTGCTTGAAAGCAGCAGTCTTCATCCCTGGTTTTCTTCCATCTAATGACCGTTTCATTGCTTATGTAAGCGTCTTACAGATGACTGTCACTTCGATTAATTCCAGTTCCTGGGTATGAGGACACCGTCGTTAAACCTTTGTGTATATGTACTTTAGCATAAGAAAACACTTATTTCTTATGACTATCCCTTCAAAGTGATTTGCTTGGGTATAAAATGTAAATGTTTTAAAATAATCTGGAATATTTTCCTCAGACTGTATATAAACATTAACTCAAAATGGGTCTTAGACCACAATGTAAGAACTAAAACCACAGAATGCTTTATAAGTCAAAATATTCACAACGTTGGGTTGGACAAACTCTAAGTATACAGATAGTACACAAAAAGAACACTTACAATAAAAAATCAGTTTTGGTTTACATCAAGACTTAAAATATCTATTCTTCAAAAGACACTGCAAAGAAAATAAAGATGAGGCCATGTCTGAGACACTGTTTGCAAAGCATGTATCTGATAAAGGGCTGGCATGCAGAATACTGAGAAAGGAAAAAAAAAAAACCCAATTTCTTACAACTAAATGCTAAGAAGAAAAAAAATGAACAAAGGATTTGGACAAATAACCAATGATTTAAGAATGACCAATGAACATATGAAAAGATGCTGAATAGCCTTAGTCACTCCAGCAATGCCATTTAAAAACCACAGTAAGACAACTACACCCCTGCTAGCAATTCAACAGTCAACAAGACTGACGATTCCAAGTGCTGACAAGGATGCAGAACAACTGGAACTTCCATATGCTGTTGGAGAGACTGCAAACTAGTACAGCCATCCTGGAAAACAATTCGGCAGCTTCCTTTACAGGTAAATATATATACACCAGAGGACACAGCAGTTCTAATCCTAGATTATACATAAGTTAAAGTGTTTCAATACAAACATCACCATAGTTTTCTTCACAAAAGCCAAAACCTTGGAAAAGTTGTCCATGAACTGGATAATGGGTGAACAAATTGTAGTATATCCAGAAAATAAAATACTACTCAGTTACAAAAGGAAAAAAAACAAGGAACAACATGAATGAGTATCAAAATCATTATGCCAGGTGGAGAAGGAAAAAAAAAAAAGACCACATATTGGGTGATTCCATTCATTTGATATTCTGAAAAAACACAAAAATGTCAGGAAAGAAAACCAATCAGTGGTTCCTAAAGCTGGCATTTGGGAGAGGAGTTTGCATGATGGAACATTTTGAGGTGACTCACATCTTCATGGCAGTGGTCACAAAATTGTATACTTATTTGTCAGAACTCATCAAAACATATACCCTGAAAAGAAAGATTACTGAATGTAAGTTATACTTCAATGCATAAGGAATTTTTAATTAAAGTTGAAGATAACTCAGTGATGTACCTCAGATGCTCTCCTGCACTTGTCCAAAGAGCAAGGAAATGTTTTTTAAAAAGTGGTCAGAATACTATAAAAAATTTTAATTTATTTGACACTAGGTGGAAGCTTTGGGTGGCAGATTTAGCAATGATAAGCACAGACATCCGGCATACCATTTTGTAGGCTGAAAATATCAACATAATAAAAGGCAAGTTGTAGAGAACCACAGTGGTGGGCCAGCACAGAGCCCATGGGGAAGTGCACACTGGGGGTACCAGCATTTAGGAAGACTAACAGAAATCTTCATCTGAAGCTCCTTCAGTGAGGAGCAGTGGAGTTCCAGAAGTGGACATGACAAGTCCAGAAGATACCAGACTTCTGAGTAGCTGGATCCTCTGGTGACCTTCGTTTACTTTATGAGCATCTAGATTTTCACCTCTGTAGAGCAGAGCTGCTTAAAGAAAATTAGTCGGAAGAGTGATGAGGGCAAGGATTTGGCTACTCTTTCTTTTGGTGACAAAACTGAAATGTGTTCAAGCTGGAAAAAAAAAAAAAGAATCATATGAAGAAATGTACCTCCAAAACATTATACATGCCCAAGTACCTTAAAAACTCAAAGAACTGCCCCCCTACACACACATAAACAAAAACAGACACAAGACAGAGAAATGATAACCAAGGAAAAAAATCGACATTTAGTCCCAATGTGTCAATAACTACTTTAATATAAATGGCCTAATATATCAAATTAAAAAAGAGATCATCAAAGTGGGAGGGGAAAAAAGGCACCCCTCTATATGCCACCTACAAAAAAAATTTACCTAATATATAATATAGGTAGGTTGAAAATAAAAGAGATGGACAAAGATAAACCATGCAAATATTAGTAAAAATGCAGCAGTGGCTGGCTATATTAGTATCAGGTAAGGTATACTTCAGACCCCAAAAAATTAACAGGGCAAAGAGGGATGTTAGGTACTTAATGATAAAAGGGTCAAGAAACCACAAAGACATAGCACTGATAAATGCATATGCACCAAACAAGAAAACATTCAAATACAAAAAGCAAAAGGTAATAGAACCAAAAGGAGAAATATACAATTTCACAACTATAGTTGGGGATTTCAATACTCTTCTCACTAGATACAAAGTCAGCAAGGATATAGAACATCTGAGTAATACCATTAACCAGTTCAATCTCATAGACATTTATACAATGTTCCACCCAACAACAGCAGAAGATACATCCTTTCCAAGCAACTAAACAACATTCAACAAGAATGTTGTATATGGGCCATAAAACAAACCTTAACAAATGTAAACATTTTGAAATCATACAGAGCATGTGCTCAGAAATAAAAACAGAAAGATAACAGTAAATATTCCAAACACTGGAAATCAAAGAGCATACTTCTAAGTAATCCATAGGTCACAGAGGAAGTCTCAAATGGAATCAAGAAATATTTCAATTAAGTGAATGTGTAATTAAAACATATGAAAATTTGGGGGGTGGAGCTCAAACAGTACTGGAAAGGAAAATTTATAGAATTAGAAGCTAACAATACAGTAGTCAAAAAATCTCAAATTAATAATCTAAGATACCATCTCAAGAAACTACACAGAGCCAAATAAAATCAAAGCAGGTAAAAGAAAGGAAATAATAAAGGTCAGAGAAGAAATTGAGAAACTAATAGAGAAAACCAATCATATAAAAAGCTGGGGGTGGGTTGGTGCGCATAGCTCAGTGGTGGAGTTCAATGGCCAGTACTTCCATCCAAAAAAAAATTAAAAAAATTTTTAATCTGTTCTTTGAAGCAGTCAATAAAATTGATACACATCTAAAAAGATTAACAAAGATAAAATGAGAATAGAAACATACCTCCAATATCAGGAATAAAATAGGAGAAATAATCCCAGATGTCCCTGTCATGAAAAAAATGAGGGGATATGTAAAACAATTCCACGGACTTAATTAGAAAACTAAGATGAAAGGGAACAAGTCCTCCAGAAGGGCAATCTATCAAAACCCACCCAGCTAAAAAATACCCCTGTACTGATTAAATTAAATGAATATGTAACTGACAGCATCCCAAAGGAAAGATTCCAGGCCCAAATGGCTTCACCAAAGAATTCTACCAAACGTTTAGAGAGTAAATAAAGCTGATTCTACAGAACTTCATCCAGGAAGGAAAAAAAGGGAAGGAACACTCCTTAGTTCTTCCTGGGAGGGCAGCATTACTCAGACACCAACACTGGAGCAGCAACAACAAGAAGAGCTACAGACCAGCACGCTCATGGTTTTAGACATAGGATTTCTCAACAAAATACCAGCAAAAGGAGTGCTGATACATACATACATACATATTTATACATATATTTATATACTTATATTCCATGATCTAGTGAGGTTTGCTGCAGAAATGCAATGTTGGTTCAACATTCAAAACCAGTTACATAATCTATACCAACAGGCTACAGAAAAAAAAATATGATCACATCAATTGAAGGAGAAAGGCAACTGACAAAATTCAACACCTATTCATAGTAAAAGCTCTCCGCAAATGAGAAGGGAAAATTTCCAAACTTAAGTTCAGAAATAAAAAACATCTACATAAAAACCCACAACTATCATCTTATTTAATGGTCAAGAAATGCTTTCCCCTGAACATTAAGAACATGACAAGTGTGTCCTCTTTCACCATTTCTATTCAACATTGTACTGGAAATTCTAGGTAGTACAATAAAGACAGGGAAAGGAAATAAAAGGGATACATATGAGGAAGAAGAAATAAGATGCTCACTATTTCCTGATAACATTATTGTTTGTAAAGAAAATTCTGAGGAATCTACCAAAAGAACAAAACAAAACAAAAGCCTGGTCTAGTGAGTCCAGCAAGGTCATAGGATACAAAGATACAAAGTCAACATATAAACATTATATTTCTCTATTAACAGTAATGAGAATGTGCAAACTGAAATTTAAAACTCAATACCACATATAATGACTCTTAAAAAATTTCTGAATAAAAATCTGACAAAATACGTTTAGGATCTGTACGCTGAAAATTACAAAGCACTAATGAAACAGATCAGAGGATCCAAATAAATGGAGACACATACCACGTTCATGGAATGGAAGACTCAACATAATACAGACACAAAGTCTCACCAAAATGATCTGGAGATTAATGTCTATAAAAATCCCACAAGATGTTTTATAAATACAGACAAGCACATGATAAAACTTACACGGAAAGCCAAAGGAAACACTGATATGGAAAGCTAAATAATTTTTTAAAGAGAATAAAGAGGGAATCACTTTACCCAGTTTTAAGGTTTAATGACAGCTACAGTATTCAAGATGGTGTGGTATTAGCAAAGGTTTAAACAGAGACCAATGGGCTAATATAAAGAAGTAAAAACACACCAACATGACTATGCCCCACTGACTTTTCTTACCAAGTTCAGTTCAATGGAGGTGGGATAGTCTTTTCTATAAATGGTGCCAGAACAACTGAACATCCTTGGGCAAAAAAACACAACCTAAACTTAACATGGTAATACAAAAATCAGCTCAACATGGATCAAGACTTAAATGTAAAAGATAGATTTTTAGGAGAAAACATTCAGGACCTAGAACTTGCTGAAAACTCCTATGACAAGATTTGAGAAGCAAGAAGAGAGGGCTTCACAATAATGCCATGGATTAACACAACAAGAACGCCCTGGCCTACAACGGCAACGCAAAACTAGACATGCGGTCATCTGAAGGGCCCTGAGGAGGGTTCAGAGTGAATATATGATTTTTATATCTTTCTGGACATGTATTTTCTTAATATGAGGTAATACTATCACATGTTCCCCACCCCCGCCAAAAATTACCAAGGGGGGAATTTCAAAATATCCTGATAAAAGATACTAGTCATGAGTCATTACACTGGGACTAAGCTGATGGTGACAACTGTGGAACTCACACGTATCTACACACACGTGTTGCCTTCTGTTAAAATTCTAGTCACTTTACTTGATGGCAAACCTTCACACAATCTTTTGTATGATTAAAACAGATTCCTCCTCTGTGTTCTTGTTTTTAATGTAATCATTATTCTTCAGCTTAATTTGGCCCTGTGTTTTATTTTGTTCTGGCTCTAATTTGACCCCTAGAAAACCAGAGGTGGACGTGAAGAAGCCTCTCTGAAGAGGAATCCAAAGGAAATCGTGGTCAGAGAGAAGACCTGGGATTCATCTGGGAAGGTTGCACAGTTAACACTGTCATCCTCACCACACAGAAAATAAAGAAAAAATAAACAAACAAGTAGATCAAATATGAGTGTTGCGTGGTTAAAGACACATGAAGAAATGCTATGATTTTTAAAAAATCAAAGTCTTAAATGTGCAGTAAAGTGTGCCCATACATGTCCCACTTTACCTCCTAAAATATGAAAATACTTCAGCACATGCTTAGCATGCACGACGTCCTGGGATCAATCCCCAGTACCTCCACTGAAAAAAAAGCATTTGAGTCGAAGTCTTTATATTCCTCATAAAGACATATGCTACTCAAGGGTAGAGACAACGTTGTGGAAAAAAGGCGGTTTTCAGTATTTTCAGACATATCCTCAACTGTTTAGTTCTCCGGACCCTGGACAGCAGTGTGTGCATGTAAGACAGATAAAGGAACAAAGTCCTCTGATCTCTGCAACAACACTCCCCTTGCCCCCACATAAACTAAGGGAGGATCAGCTGCCACAGGCTCATCACGGAAACCTGAAAGCTGTGTTTTCATTTCTTTCTTCTCTTCTCTGTCTCCTCCTCTTTTGTATAAATATCCCTGAGATCATTTTGCAGTGTAAACAAAGGAGAAAGACATGGCTGAAGGCTTTGAAAAGTGCACGGTAAAGACTGGGTTACTCTCCTGGATGGAGTTTCAGATACAGAGTAAGATTCGGGGCTGATTCTATCTCTAACGTGATGCTAGATGACAACCGACATCCTGCAACGGGCTTTCTCACAGGGAAGGAAAATGAGGGCTTTCTCTTTGGTATGAACGATCAGATTCTGAGTAAGATGTTTCCTCTACAGCAAAAGACTTTCCTCAGTGGTCACATTCAAAAGTCTTTCCCCAACAGTTCTTACAGGCTGACTGAGGACTCCCACTTGTGAAGGGTCTCCCCTCATCGGTCACACGGGGTTTCTCCCAGTATGAACCCTCTGATGCTGAGTGAGGGAGGAGCTGCGACTGAAGGCCTTTCCACACTCACTGCACTCATAGGGCTTCTCTCCGGTGTGGATGATGGCGTGGCGAATGAGGCTTGTGCTCCAGCAGAAGGACTTCCCACACTCCATGCATTCGTAAGGCTTCTCTCCACTGTGGATCCGCTGGTGCCTGGTGAGGCCGGACCTGCGGTTAAAGGCCTTCCCACACTCCGTGCACTCATAGGGCTTCTCTCCAGCGTGGATGCTAATGTGTCGAATGAGGTCTTTCCTGGTGCTGAAAGCTTTCTCACATTCTTTGCACTCAAAAGGTTTCTCTCCAATGTGGGCCCTCTTATGCAGGATAAAGGTATAGCAGTAGGTGAAGGCCTTCCCACATTCCGTGCACACGTAGGGCTTCTCTCCAGTGTGGATGATGGCGTGGCGAATGAGGTTTGCCCTTTGGCAAAAGGCTTTGCCACACTCCATGCATTCATAGGGCTTCTCTCCGCTGTGGATCCGCTGGTGCCTGGTGAGGTATGACCTGCGGTTAAAGGCCTTCCCACACTCCGTGCACTCGTAAGGCTTCTCTTCCGTGTGGATGCTGAAGTGTCGAATGAGGTCTGACCGATTGCTAAAGGCTTTCCCGCATTCTTTGCACTCGTAGGGTTTCTCTCCAGTGTGGGCCCTCTTATGCAGGATGAAAGTGGAGCAGTGGGTGAAGGCCTTCCCACACTCACCGCACACGTAGGGCTTCTCCCCAGTGTGACTCCGCTGGTGCTGTTTGAGGTGGGACCTGCGGTAGAAGGCCTTCCCGCACTCCAGGCACTTGTATGGCTTCTCTCCAGTGTGGATGACGTGGTGCTGGATGAGGTCTGTGCTGTCACAAAAGGCCTTCCCACACTCACTGCATTCAAAGGGTCGCACCCCAGTATGAATCTGCTGGTGCCAGGTGAGGTGTGACCTGCGGTTGAAAGCTTTCCCACACTCCACACACTCAAAGGGCTTCTCTCCGGTGTGGATGATGTAGTGTCGCAGGAAACCCGTCTTGTCTCGGAAGGCTTTCCCACACTCCTTGCACACAAAGGGCTTTTCCCCAGTGTGGCTCCTGTTATGCAAGACTAAATTGGAGCGATGGGTGAAGGCCTTTCCACATTCACTGCACTCATAAGGCTTCTCTCCGGTGTGAATCCGCTGGTGCCTTGTGAGGTGTGACCTGCGGTTGAAGGCCTTGCCGCAGTCTGTGCACTCGTAGGGCCTCTCCCCTGTGTGGATCATGTGGTGCTGGAGGAGGTGTGTGCTCTTGCTAAAAGCTTTCCCACACTCTGTGCATTCATAGGGCTTCACTCCAGAGTGAACCTGCTCATGTCGAACAAGGAAGCAATTCTTATTAAATACTTTCCCACATTCCTCACACTTGTACAGGTGTTGCCCCTCATGTATCAAGGGACCTCTCCCTGACCCCTGTGAGTCTCGTTCATGGAGAACGTCTCCTGGAGAGACTTGCTGCTGCCCATGCCTGGAGAACAGCCCATCATCTGTCCCTAAACCATCACGTTCAGGGCTCACTTTCCCAGGGAGCTTCTCCCTCAGGGGCTCTACCCTTGGTCTCAAGCGGCCTTCCTGCATTTCAGATGACTCATTTCGATCCTTGGTCTGTCCCAAGCGGGAGTCCCCTGAGGCTCGCTGAGTCAGCTGTTCCCGGGGTGAGACCTCCTCAGACAAGGGCAGGCCAGGAGGGGAAGGGTCTGCGGTGTCAGGTTCTGCGCCATCACCTGGAGGGAATACAATGTACAGAAAGGCTTCTCAGTGACGACAACATAGAAGAAACGAAGCCACCGAGTCAGTGAGATCAGGAACGGAAACAGTGGCTCTGTACCTCCTTGGTTTCAAATCTCTCAAACCCAGGTTTGAAATTTCTTCCTTTTTGGTTCTTGAATTCATGAAATTTTTAGAGGGGAAACTCAGAGGGAGAGCATGGCCGGCGGACAGAATGTCTGGAGACTAGAGACAGACAGACAGTGATGATGACACTGTGTGCTGAGTCTGCTCAAAGGCAGAACATTTCAAGGTGCTACATGAAGCTGGCGAAGCGGCACCCAGTGCAGCCTTGATGGAGACGAGGGGGTCGGGGAGGCTTCCCAGATGAGGCCAGACCTACTGAAGCAGTAGAAAGTGCAGCAGGGAGAAAACAGGAGGCCCTTTCAGCCTTGGGAGACAGAACCAACACAGGTGCAGAGTCCTCCAGGATCAGGGGACTGCCGTGCAGGAGAGGAGCGCCCAAGATGGGACCAGTGTCCTTACAAGGAGAGACACGAGACAGCTTGCTTGTTTTCTCTGCCACGTGAGGACAGGATGAGAAGGCTGTCATCTGCAGACCGCGATGCAGGCTGTCCCCCAACACCAGGTCTGCCAGCACCTTGATCCTGGACTTCCCGGCCTCCCGACATCTGAGAAATAAATGTGTGGTGCTTGAGCTGCCCTGTCTGTGGCATTCTCATCACCGCAGCCCAGACTGATGAAGACAGGAGGGTGTGAGTAATGTTCTCATTGTGGAGTTCAGTGATGTTAAGTGTATTATTAAAAAAACAAAAAAAAGAATGAGCAAATAATTTAATTAATACAATCAATCAAGGTCACTCATGAATCAGTGATGACAATGTACCATAAACCAAGGTTTATCACTGATGAAACCTGTACCTGAGGTCCACTGTGGGGCTCAGCAGTCAACACTAGTCTATGCTGACAACCTGAACGGGGTTCTGAGCAGAAGGGGCTCCAAGGGCATGAGATCCGATGAGGTGCTGGACATGTTCTATACGCTGACGGAGTGCAAACGTTCATGAAGCTGACCTCTTAAGATTCTTGCACCACACAGCATGTGAGTTACCCCTCATTTGGAAAGTGCAAGAAAATCATAGCAAGTGGGAAGCATGGAACTCAAGTGCAGGTGTCTCTTGCAGGAATGAGGTGGCTCCTCCAAGAAGACTGATTTTACAGGGAAGGCAGAATCAATGGTAGTGAGAAGCCAGTGGAGAGACAGAAGCATCTTCTATTTCCTTTCCCCAAGTATGAGACAACTGAGCGTATTTTTATATTACAAAAGAGGCAGAAAAGGAGAGAAGCAGCAGCTTCCTGAAAAGGTGAGGTCCAGACCCCGGTGCATGTACTAGGCATGGCTAGGGCGAGATTTCCTCAAGAGAGAGGTGAGGAGGGAAATAACACAGGGGAGGGATTTGATGAGCGTGCAAGGGTTTAAGGACCAGCAACACAAGGACGCCGGCTCTGTTACCGACATGAAAATGTGGAGGCAGCAGCAACCATCTGCTGAGACGTCAGTGGTGCGGGGTGGGGAGGTTTGAAACAAGATCTCTGTGTCTGCGGGGGCCAGTGTGGGAGACATGGCAGACCAGAGGCACGGAGACGTGGGGAGACCACCTAGGAGTGTGTTGGCATCGCACCGGCAAAAGCTGAAAGCCTGCACTGAGAGTGTGGGGAGGGGTCTCATATAGGTACTGGAGGTCATGGGCTCAAGAGACAAGCATGAAACATCCACTATGGAAAACAGTATGGAGGCTCCTCAGAAAAATAAAAATAGACTTACCCTACAATCCAGCAATCCCATTCCCGGACATACATACAGAGAAGACTCTAATTCGAAAAGACACATGCACCCCAATGTTCATATCAGCCAAGACATGGAAGGAACCTAAGTGTCCATCAATAGATGACTGGATAAAGAAGATGTGGTATATATACACAATGGAATACTACTCAGCCATAAAAAAGAATAAAAATGCCATCTGCAGCAACATGGATGGACCTGGAGATTGCCATTCTAAGTGAAGTAAGTCAGAAAGAGAAAGAAAAATACCATATGATTATCACTCATATGTGGAATCTTAAAAAAAAAGACACAAATAAACTCATCTACAAAACAGAAACAGACTCACAGACATAGAAAACAAACTTATGGTTACCATTGGGAAAGAGGGTGGGAAGGGATTAACTGGCAGCTTAAGATTTGCAGATACTAACCACTATATATAAAATAAACAACAAGGACCTACAGCACAGGGAACTATATTCAATACCTTGTAGTAACCTATAATGAAACAGAATATGAAAACAAAAGAAAAAAATACCTTGTCAAACATATGCCAGGCACTGTATGGTCTTGGTGACTTAACAATGGCAAATAAAAACTAAAGTTCCCACCCTAAAAAAAAAAAGACGTGCATGCAACACAGACAGGATCTGGAGGTGTCTGGAGGTGGGTGGTGGAGGCGGAGGGGTGGAGGGGCTGTCTGCAGCTGCCCCCAGCCTTCTAACCCACATGGGAAGTGGAAGGAGCGGGCAAGGTCTTAAGGCCCCTCTTAGGCCTGCTGGGCACGGGGCACCTTGAGGCTTACGCAGACAGGAGGGACAGGAAGACTCGGGCAAAGGAGCGCTCCCCAGGGCCTGACTGGCACTCGGGGTGTGGGCAGACGGAGATGGTGGGAGAGGGTGCGGCACAGAGCACAGCTGGTCAGAAGGCAATGCGAGCCACTGTCCTCACTCTGTAGGACTCATACCACAACGCGAGTAATACTAACAGCTTACTTCTGGGGGGTATCACATGATGCTGTTTTTGTTTATTGTTTGTTTTATCAATATTATTAATTATGGGTCAAATTATCAAGCACTAGAGTGTCTTCTAAACCTCGTGTGGACTAAGAGCTTACTTTTGCTGCCAGTCGCTACGGGTCAGGCCCAGTGCAAAGAGGTTTCCTGCACAGAACTATCACATTCTCCAACAACCGCCATTTTCCAGGAACAGACCGTGTGCACAGACTACACTCACCAAAACATCTGCTCCTCTCCTGGGACACACGGCTCAGCCTCACTCCCCAGCCCCAGGCACCCAATGACAAGACCGAGCATCCGGTCAGTGGAACAGGAGGGGAACAGGGTGATGGGCATGGGTGTGACACCTGCCTTCTTCTCTCCCCTCCCCTCTGCCAGCTGGGGGGTGCCAGGACAGCCCGGCAAGTCTCATGGTGATGACAGGAGGTACCCACGGGAGGCACAGCATCCACTGACCACCTGGTCGTTGGTGTAAGAAAAACACTCCTCAAAGGCCAAGCCACTGAGATTTTTGAACATGCTCGTTAGCTTGACTGGACTTCCCTGGCCACACTTAGATCCAAAGGCAAAATGGAATCACACAGCTTCCCCAAGGCTGTGTGACTGTCACACCTAGTTTTCAAGGCCAAGCACATGGAACCGAGAGCCTGAGCTGAACCTAATACACTCGCCACCTCCCAGGGAGCAGGGAAGAGAGTCATGGGGCTGGAGAGTGTGAGGCAGAGGGAATGCAGATTAAAAGGCTCCGTGGACCCCTCTAGAGTAGAGAGGCCACGACAAGAATATTCTTAAACATTCAAGAGGCAGTGGTCGCCCTGCTGTCCGCAGCCGCCGGCACTCACCTGCGCAGGAGCCTGGGGAGAGGCCTGTCTTCGACGTCCGTGACCCTGGGCTGTGCTCCAGTGAGTAGACCAGCTCTGGTTTGGGCAAAGAACAGCCTTTTCACAGAGAAAGAAAGAACACGGGGATTTTAGTGAGAAGAAAGACACCTTTCAATCTAGATCAGACTGCAGGATTTGGAAGAGACCTCAAAATGCAGCTGCTCCCATCTCTGCGAACAAAATGCTGCGACTGGGAAACAAACTGTAAAAGCACTGTCGTTTGGCCCCAAAGACATGAGTGCTGGCTGCGTAGACAGCGGCAACTCCCTCTGACCTCCATCCCACAAAACCCCAACGCAGTTCACACGCGTTTCCTGAAGACGTTTTCTCCCATCCACGCCAGGGGCCTCGACCTCCCTGGGTGTCAGGAACACCCAGAGTGCTCAGTTGCCCCAGAGCAATTCAGACAGAACCTCTGGGGTGAGGCCTGAGCATCAGTGGACTTTAAACACTCCCCAGGTGACGGGAGCCAATCTGGCAGGCTAGTAAGCCCTGATCTCCATCGTCCCCCAGTGGCATCCCTGATCACTGGCCGTCTCAGGCAGGCAGCCCACGCCAGCCACTCCGAGTACAGAGAAAGCTTTATTCCAGGAAGTGCAGAGCAGGATCAATGAGGCACCCACAGCTCCTGTTGTCTTGTTGTGTGTTTGTGTGTGTGGTTTTCCCCTCTATTTTTTTTTAAATGGAGGTACTGGGGATTGAACCCCTCAAAAGAAAAATCCCCTTGGGCTTCTGGCAGCTGGGGAAAAAAGAACCATTTCTGAAATACACCAGAGCACTCTGTTCTCAACCAGGCCTGCCCGCAGAGGAAACTAATTAACCAGAGCCGAAACTGCTAGGGTTTTATCCGAGCCTGGCTGACCTGGGAGACAGGAAATACACAACTCCAGTCAACTCTGGCCATCCTGTCCTACCTTAGTGGAGGCGATAAATACTGAGAAACACTTGTGAAGTTCACAGTCCAGAGGCACAGGGTCACTAAAAGCCTGAGAGCGAACCACAGAGCTACAGAACACGCTCTCGCTCCCCCACCCTACCACTGCATTTCTAACGGCCCACTTACAACAGTTACTTTTTCCCGGTACATCCTGTCCAGCTATCAAGAAAAAATTAGGAATCGTGCTGAAAGGCAAAAAACACAATTTGAAGAGACAGAGCAAGCATCAGAACTAGACATGTCAGAGATGCTGGAATTCTCAGATCAGGAATTTTAACGACAATGATTCATACGCTAAGGACTTTAATGGACAAAGTAGACTGCGTACAAAAACAGATGGGCAACCTAAGCAGATAAAGGGAAACCCTAAGTAAGAACAAATGCCACAGATGAAGCAACACTGAGGAATGCCTTTGGTGGACTTATTAGCAGACTGGACGGGGCCAAAGAATCTCTGGGCTTGCAGCTGTATCAACAGAAACCTCCAAAACTGAAAAGCAAAGAGGACAAAGACTCAAAACACAGAACACAATATTCAAGGATAGTAAAACTACAAAAGGTGTGATATACATTTAACAGGAATTTTAAAAGGAGGGAAAAAAAGAGAGGAAGAAACAGAAGAAATAGTTGAAACAGTAATGACTGGGAATTTCCCAAAATGAATGTCAGACACCAAACTACAGATGCTAGAAGCCAAGAGACACCAAGCGCGATAAATGCCCACTGCCACCACTCCCCACCGCCCGAAACACACATCTCATAATATCATTTAAAAACTGCAGAAAATCAAAGATAAAGGAAAAAATCCTGAAGGAAGCCAGAGATAAAAAACACCTTACCTATAATAAAAGAACAAAAACAACAATTACATCTGATTTCTCCTCAGAAATCATACAAGAAAGGAGACAGCGGAAAGAAATATTTAAAATGTTCAGAGAAAAACCTCACCAACCTTGAATTCCACACCCTGTGAAATTATCCTTCAAAGTGAAAGAGAAATAATTTCTCAGAGAAACAAAAATTGAAATCTGTTGCCAGTAGACCTATCTTGCAAGAAATGTTAAAATAACTTCTTAAGAGGAAAATTATATAGGTTAGAAACTCAGACCTAAAGAAAGGAGGACTATCAAAGGAGGAGTACGAGAAAGTAAAACTAAAACTTTTACTTGTCTTGAGGGGAGGGTATAGCTCAATGGTAGAGCACCTGCTTAGCATGAACAAGGTCCTGGGTTCAATCCCCAGTACCTCCATTAAAAAAAACCTAAAATTAAATTTAAAAAAAAAAGAGCATAAACATTAAAAAAACTTTTACTTTTCCTAACCAATCTAACAGATAACAGTCTGTTCAGAATAGTAACATTAACTGCGCATTCAGTTATGCTTATGTATATATCTTACACACATACATATACCTGTGCTTAGATATATAAGTGAAATGAATGGCAGCAATGGGACGAAGGATGGGAGGCAGGAATTAAGATTATTTCGTTATAAGGTCAACAGAAGACTTCTGGAACTAATAAGCACTTACAGCAAAGTTGCAGGACACAAGGTTAATGCACAAAAGTTGGTTACTTTCCTGTAGACTACCAATGAACAAGCGAAACTCAAAAAACACACTACCATTTACATTAGCACTTCCACAAGATGAAATACTTAGGTATAAATCTAACAAAATATGTACAAGATCTGTATGAGGAAGACTACAGAACTCTGATGAAAAATCAAAGAACAAAAGCAGTGGAGAGATATTTTATGTTCATGGATGGGAAGAATCGATATTCCCAAGATGCCAGTTCTTTCTAATTTGATCTGTAGATTCAACGCAATCCCAGTCAAAACCTCAGCAAATTGTTTTGTGGATATCCAAAACTGATTCTAAAGTTTATAGGGAGAAGCAAAAGACCCAGAAGAACCAACACAATACTGAAGAAGAACAAAATGGAAGGACTGACACGACTCAATCTCGAGACTTACAATAAAGTCACGGCAATCCAGACAGTGTGATATTGGTGAAAGGTCATCGGAACAGAACTGAAAGCCCAGAAGCAGACCCACGTAAGCGCAGTCAACTGCTCTTTGGCAAAGGCGCAAAGGCAAGCTGATGGAGCAAAGCCAGACTTTTCAACAAATGGTGCTGGAACAACTGGATATCTACATGTTAATAGTAATAATAATAATCAAACAACTAATTTTTATAAGGTGTAACATATGCCAGGGACTGTGCCAAGCAATTCAAATATGCATTTTTTTTAAAAAAAACCCTGAATTATGTTAATGCACTAATTTAGAAAAGAAAGTTAAAATATTGAAGCTCCTCATTCAGGAACAAGGTGTCTTCACAGAGCGAAGCCTTTTTCAGGTCCTAAGCAAAGTGTTACATTGTTATATGTTGTTCTTCCTGTGGGCCTTGCATGAAAAATTCTGGTTTAGGAATTCCTTCCAGCATCCACATGAAGCACACGCTGCAATAAGCACTATTTTAGAGACGAAGAAACAGGGGTTCGGGCAGATACGATGATTTGCTGAAACTAGACACGCTGAGTGGCTGAGCCAAGACGAAAGCCCAAGTCCCGTCATCTCTGGCATCTGGCCTGTTGAACTGCAGGGCCACACAGCCCTGCTCCAGAAGATGCTGATCCAAGTGCAGGGCGAACACCACGAGGACCAGGACGGCAATGACACCATTAACAGTGGTGACAGCAGGGGCCACAATCGCTAAGCCTGCACACAGCAAGGCGCTGGCAGGCACTGTTCTGGGCCACTGACCCTCACGACAGCCGTGCGAAGCAGACACCACACCACCTCCTTTTACCTGTGAGATAACTGAGGCCCAGGAGGGGCAGTAAGTTGCCCAGGAACGCAGAGCTCATTAGCAACAGAGCAGGGATTAGACACCCGGGGTCCAGCACCAGACCCAGGTTTCCCAAGTGCTACACTAAGGAGGGAACAGCAAACACTCCTGCGTGGGGCCTGCAGTCTCAGACCATGTGGGAGGGGACATGAGCAGAAGGACTCAATCCTTAGGAAACAGGGCCAGAGGAAGGGGCAGACTTGGTGAGGCCAGAATTCAGCATCTCATGAACCACTACAAATCAGAAATTGGGAATCTTCACAAATAGTGACATCTGCACAAACATCAAATCTCATTTATTCTTATCGACATTTCACAAAAGAAAGGACTTGTACCATCAAAAAATGCAGGAGAGCTTTTCACAACCAAGATGTGTCTTTTTAGTTGAATGGATGAAGCTTCATGAGGGACTCACGGCAACGGCCCCATTTTCCTTACTTGCTGAGGACGGCAGGCTGGGAGAATTAAATGAGTAGGGCGTGAACAGAGAAACAAGATAAAAGCAACAAATAGGAAGAAACAAAGATGAGGAACGTGTGTGTCTCAGAGAACAAGGTCTAGGTGGCCACTTCCCTCTGCAAAACAGCTTCAGCAGAAAGTGCCACTGTGAAGAGTGACACGAGCAGATGCACGGAGAGGAGGCAAAACAAGAGGCCCAGGCCCCAGGGGGAATCGTGCTCTTCGGAGCTGCTACACCAGCCCCTCAAGGAGCCCGCTGGGACGCCTGCCTCTGGGCTCTGCGAGACACCCCCGCTTCCTCCCAACACATCTTTTTCCTTTGGCTGTAACCAAAGGCTAACTGTTTCTTGCCCAACCGTCCCTAAGTGAGAAACAAGGGGACCACAAAGGAAGAGGTGAGTCCAGAAAACAATGGAAGCTGTGGGGCTACAGAGGCCAGCCGGGCCTGGAGCCAGAGGGTGGGACAAAGGAGGTGACAGGGCCCCCATGCAGTGAGCCAGGGAGGCCTTACCCAGAGACGCCAGGAGCCCGCAGGTCTCCAGCATCACCTCCTGGTACAGGGTCTTTTGGGCAGGGTCCAGATGCCCCCACTCCTCCCGAGTAAAAGTCACGGCCACGTCCTCATAAGTCACAGGCATCTGGAAAGTCAAATAGAGGCAGCTGTGTTGGTCTGGGGGCTGTTGATGGAGTCAGGGCCCATCGCTCTCCACGGCAAAGATGCCAAAAGACCAGACACCCCCTGGACGCTGAGATTTGTGCGGAACTTAAGGAGGCAGATTCTGCTTTGGGATGACAGCAGTGTAGGAGACAGAGCCTCCTATGCGGGAGCTGGTGGAGAAGACACAAGGTCAGGACCATCCTGATGACAGGACTGGACTGCGAGGCACAGAATGGTAAGGGCACCAAGGCATCAGGAAAACGGGGAAGAGTAACATAACGATAACAGTAAAAATGATAGAAATAATCATTACAGCAACAGCACCGAGACTCACTGGTCCTTACTGTGTGCCTGCCTCATATTGAGCGCTTTAAAGTCACTGAAAGCCCCTAGCTCTGATGTCGTACTCCTGAAGTTTGAATCCAAAGTCTTAAAATCAACACTTGACTCCTCTGTGAACCTGGGGACTTCATTTCTCTGAACCTTGATTTCTGAATCAGTACAATGATTCTCACTTAGCAATAATACTTATGAGAATTAAAGAAAAATTACACTGGGTGACTGGCCATAGCCTGTGAGGTCAATGCCATCATCATCTTCCCATCAGTTAGGGGACCTGAGGTCCAGGGAGCTCAACCGGTTCTCCAGAAGTTTATATGCATTATGACCAGAGGCAGGATTTAAACTCAGGTCCCTCTGATCTGGGGTCTATTAGCAAAACCCTGACACTCCACCATTAGCAAAGTAAAACCACATTTAATGAAGATGTGAAGCATTTTAAATAAATTTTGCAGGTCCATTCATTTCAGCTCCCACTGAAAACAGTTCTGCAGACACCGGCAGAGGAGCAGACTCATTATCACCCAACTGGGGGGGAGGGCGGTGGATGGGGCAGGTGGGAGGAAGGGGAGGAGGGACCTGTCTGGGAAGTGGCAGGGCCTGGACCAGCTCCGGCTGCCCTCTGTACCTTGGAGACTCCCAGGGAGACTCCACGATAAGCCATCACTTCTTTTTACTACCTGAGGTCTGACAGCACTATCCTGGGGGAAAAGAATACTTCATGACCAGGGACAGGAATTGCTGAGGACAATGGCGGCTGTAGCCAGGAGAACAAACGCCTTTGGCCATGATGCCTGTCCTGGCTGACAGCAGGATGAACATTCAGCAAATGACCAGGACATGCCTCGGCAGATGGAGGAGTCTGGGGAACCCTGGCAATCACACAGGTCCTCTGGGAACTCCTTAAACCACCAATATGTCTTTTTTTTTTTTTTCTGGTGGATGTACTGGGGGTTGAACACAGGGCCTCCTGCATGCTAAGCACACACTCTACCACTGAGCTATACCCCACCCCATACCTTGAGCTCACGCTCAAGACTGCCTATTGAAAGGAAGCCCGCTTGCCTTGCAATGTTTACTCACCTCCAGGCCTCCCTGCCCACAGTTCACACAGAAAAGGGTAAAAATATAGGCTGTGGTGGTCGACATGCTGGTTAATTTCTGCTACTTAAGAGCCGCTGTGAACTCGAGCAGGTAACGAAATCTCACTGAGCCTCAAGCTGTTCTTGTGCAAAACAGTGACCATTACAGAACTTAGCTCTGAAGAGCTGAGGAGCAAATGAGGTGGTACATTATGCTTGCCTGTCAGCTAACAGCGAGCCCTCAGTGAAGGTCAGCTCTCTTGTTTTCTTATTGTCTTCTCTTTGGTCCCACAACATCCTGAACAAATTCAACCTTGCACTCTTATTCAACCTTGCTAGGTTCCCTACACAAAACGCCAGAAGATGGGCAAACAGGAAAGGGGCCATTTTAGGCTGCTAGGAAAGGCCTCGCCAAATAGCTGACGTCTGCGCAGAGGCCAGAAGGATGTGAGAAGAAAGTTCTGCAAAGACACAAGAACACTATCCCGGGCAAAGGCCAAAACAAAAGCTAGGGGGTGGGGGTGGGGTGACAGAGAACTTATCACCATCAGGTTGTTGCGTCTGGAGAACATAAGCCAGGGAAGAAGGGAAGGTCAGAGGAGGTTGGCCGGGAGGATGGGGGACCGGCAGGTCTCGGTGGCGACCTGGAATTGTAAGCATCATTCATCCTTTCTACACCCGTCACAGACCCGACGCTGCTATGAGACGGCGGATAAAATGACAAGCCAGCGCCACTTGTAAATAAACGACAGGACAAAGAGAAACCCAATGGCTCACTTAGCCTCCAGCCTGCCCAGGGGCCCTCTCCGAACCAGCCGAGAAGAGAAGCAGCCACGCCAGGCACACGGTCCACTCACCCGCGCCAGGCCCATCCATGCCGCCGCCATCGGGAGACCCTGAGGACAAAGCAGGGCTTGGAAGGGCGGCGACAGAGGCGGCTCCAGGATCCAACCGACGGCCGCCCCGTGCCAGCCCGGAGCCAGGAGCCCTCGGCGGTTTCTCCGGGTGTAAACCGCGCACGAGGCCCAGGCCGTCGCGTCCCGGCTGCGGGGACGGCGGTCGAGGCCCCAGTGGGCGCTCACGGGACACCGCCGTTACGGAGGCTCG